GAGCGAATGTCTCGAGCCTCGTGCGGGGGAAATAAATGTAAGGGGGCTGGAGGTAGTAGCTGGAAATTGAGAACGGATTCCCGTCTCCCCTTACACAATTTTGCCCTATTCGCACGGGAGACGTTATTTTAAAGCACATTTTCGAGCACCTTTAATTTCAAAACATGATACAGGAGTTCATGATGGGTAGAGAGTCCACAACACCACACAATTCAAGGGTCCTAAGATCACTAATTCACACAATCAACCAACACAATATGAAGAAGAAAGGAGACTTCTTAAATGCATCAACATCCTCCATAGTGCTACACTACCTCCCTAGGTTGCACATTACTATAGAGATTGTCAATTCAAAGCATACTGAGCAGGCAATTGCAAGGAACACGTACTTGGAGCCCTCAAATTTAAAAATTTGGACAGTGGACTAGGCTCCAAGAACACAAACAGATCTAAGCATTCACACGCATACATAATCGAACACCCCTCCCCACACACACACACACTTAAAGCACGACATTGTCCTCAATGGAGAAAAGTTAAGGAGGGTAGAACAAAGTTACCAGATCAAGGGTGAATGATGGAGGACGGGGCAGGCGGTGCCTTCCAGGAGGAGAGAGTAGTCGGAACACAAACACCACACAAAATCTCACAAAGGTTGAGTTATTGAATCTAAAATCAAATAACAAAATTGACTCAACCAGGGAGAAATAGAGAAAGAAATGCAAACCGACTGGTTGGGTTGCCTCCCAACAAGCGCTTCTTTCACGTCGTGAGCCAGACGATGGCTCCTAAGTTTCGGTCCACCCCAAAACCTCCTTGAAGTTGAGGTTCTCGTCGATCAGGTGGAGCCTCAAGTCACGAGCATGTGGTGTGGCAGGTGATGAAGGCCCATGCACTTGATGCAGATGACGTCTCCAACCTCGAGACCTCTTCCTCTCTTCTCTCGTCTCATTGTCCCAAACTAGATATGACAACATCGATTGACCACCATCGCGTCCACCAAGAGGGACCGATGTCGATGTGGCTTGGTCTGGCAAAGAGACACTGCAAATGGGTCCTTGCTAAGCAGTTCCTCGAAGTTTGGTGGAGATATCACATGTCACTCGTGGCCGGTGCAAGCCTCTTCCACCTCAACTTCGTCCTCGGCCGGGATGCCAATTGCTTCTACAACCTCCTTTCCTTTTTCATGTGGTATCACCCCTGGGAAAAGATCAAGAACTCCTTCTGCTTCACTTTCATCATCCTCCACAACTTCTTCCTGCACCCTTTCTTACTCTTCTTCTTCCAGCACGGATTGGAGGGCAAGTCGCCAAGCAATTTCTTTGATGAGATCTTCTTGCATCTCCTCACTCATGCCCGCCTCTTCAAAGCTCAGTTTGGGATGTGGGAAGGTGTGGTCGGCTACGACAGGACATTCCTGATCATGATCATCACGGGAGCTCTCCGTGACAACTTCAGTGTGCTCCACAATGTCCTTGTAGCCTTCTTCTTCCTCCTCCTCTTCCAGTAAGGTAGCAGAAGGGTTATCTGGAGCAGGTTGTGCATAAGATCGATCAAGATCATCGACGCTCTTCTTAATGCCGAGGAGGATATCCTCTGTTTCACGAAAGGCATGGGTACAAAGATCCATCCTGGACCATGATCTCTCACTGTCTCAAGCAAACTGCTCCATGAGAAGCCTCAATTCATAGTTTGGATCTGGCTGTGGAGTGTAGCATGGCTCTGAAAAATGGCCCATGAAGGCCGCCATGGTAACTCCAGCTCCGATGGCCCTTCTGGTTGTGGGAGAAATTATTCTTGATAATGAGGTTGTTCTTGATATGCCCAGGGGTCTGATTGTTCTCCGTAGTAAGGGGGTTGGTACTGGAACCCGAATCCATAGTCTTCTCCTCCTTGATTGCTCCAGGGAGTCTCGGGGTAATACCACTCGGATGGTGGTGGATACCCCCAATGGTTGGAGAAGCCATGAGGATCCATGATTCAGATATGCACCAACAAAAACAAAAACACCCAAGTGAAAAGCAAGGGTGAAAAAGAAAAGAAAAACGCTAAAATAACAAACTTTTGCCTTTCCTAATAATCTAGAAAGTCCCCGGCAACGGCGCCAAAAACTTGACTCGCTCTGACACAACTCCTAACAATGGCCAAGTGTAACCAATGAAAGGAACTGCAGTATAGTGGCTCAAGTAATAAATATAGAATCCACGGGTCTCTAGAGTTACTATTACTCAGCTTCAGTTCATTATCTAGCAACCCAGATTAAGATGAAAGAACTAAAACTACTCTAGCAAACTACAGTTAAAGTTAATCTAATTACAAGTTGGGAACTCACATAGGTATGATTCCCCCTAGCCACTAGCCAGATTACTGATTGATGATTTTTAACTTGTTTCACTTTCATTCACAATGCGGAGAATCCTTGACTAGACCTTGAATCTCGACAAAAGGATCAAGGCCCTCTTGAGTCGATTGCCTAGAGGGACGTATCCTTCTCTAGAACAACCGATCAAGGCGTTCTGAACTGGACTCCATCTATCGAATGAGGTTCTCAATCGATACAAAGTAGTGAATCAACCCTCGACTAAAGCAATCGATCCAATACTATCAATCTATGGTGCTCTATTGACCTAATCAGTTATTCGCTCTCATAGGATCAAAGCAGAATCAATAATCTTGACTAAAGTAGAATTGAATCATGAAAACGTGCATAGATTGAATATGAACTCAAGATTATCAAGTAAGAGTACTCATGCAATCATCCAATCAAACAAACATAGCTAGGGTTCCTCAAAACCTAAGTGAAGGGAAGTTACTCCATAGAGAAGAGAGAGACTGCAGTAAGAATCTTCAGATGATCAGTCTTCAAGTCCAGGCTTGTTCCTCGAGCTTCCAAGGCGAAAAAATCCTCCAATTCCACTCCAAGAATACCCTCAAATTGCCCTTTCTCTCTCTTTGGTTCGTCCCTTGGGTGTTTGGGATCCAAAACCCAGCTCTCCCTTGCAAAAACGCACAAAACAGGCTTTTACCAGCCTGCGTTCGCGATCCTCGGTCAGAATACCCGTCGGGTATTTAGGGAACCGGCCGGGTATCAACAAAATGCTCCAGGTCACTCTTCTAGGCAAAAGGAAAAAATACCCGGTCGGGTATTTTTAGTACCCGGTCGGGTATTTTTGGTTCACGACCGGGGGGCCTTCTGATGCTGCCAAAAATACCCTATCATATGGTCAAAATACCCAGTAGGATATTATGGTCGGGTATTTGCAGTTCCGGGTCCCCTATCCTTGATTCTTCGTTTCTCCCTCGTTCGGACTCCAAATCAGGTGTCGTTTGATCCCAGATGCTCGTAGTCTCGTCCTATTTCTTCTCATGATAAGATTACATGATTATATGGTCACAAACTGAGGTAGAAATCATTCTTCTTCAAGTCATACCCGAGTTTCTTCCCCTGAGTCGCCAATTGATCTCCGATTGACTTGAAACATGCGCCTACGCTTCACTTTATGTGCTAGGACCTGAAATGTGACAAAGGAACACAACCTAGCATAAAATAGGCCAAAGAGGCGATAATTCAAGCTTAAAAGATCAAGAAACAAAGGGGAAAACATGTGCAAATATCAAGTCATCAGAGACCTTCGGAGCTCCGCCTTCCGTGGCTTGCTTTGCTTAGTCCTAGTCTTTGAGGACGGAGTTTGGGAGGGATTAGCTTTCTTTTCTTATACCTGTTTGAGTTAAAGATTGACGATTTGCATAATCGTTCCATTGACGCCCGTCACCGTTAGGACGGCAGGGGGAGTCAGTTGAGTTTTCGTGATCCCAGCAGGTGTTTCCTTTGCTTGAGATACTGATTTCGGTAGAAAGGAGGCCTGGCCTTTGGGATTCAGAGTTGCAGTGGGCTTGGGCGTTGTTTGGGTCGAGGTCGAGGCTTGGGCCTGGTCAACCTTGGGCTTTTGTCCCTTACCAATAAAAGAACCAGATTCAGGAACAGGACCCAAAAGACCTTCCCTTCAACACACACTGCACTTGATGCTATCTCCTTTTCTTTCTTTGATGTATCTGAAAATTTTCTTCCCGATCCGCCTTTCCTTTCTTGAGGAGATGCCCGTTGAGGTGAATATGTGATGGTCGGCGGGGATATCGGGGCAACCCGTCCATTTTCCTTCATCAAAACTTCTTGTTTTCCTTGTTTTGTTGGTGTTCCTCGAAGAGGTTTACAGTTTCCCTTTCTGGGAGGGATCTCGCGAATTTCGCCTGCTCTTGCGGACACGAGCATCCAGGGCCCCAATCCCGGAGTCGATTCCTCCTCTGCTCGTTCTGTCTCGTTCGCCTGATTCTCCGCGCCGGTGATGGCTAACGTCGGCGGATGAGCTTCCGGCCGCAGCTTGGGACAGAGCAGGGAGGAGTGTCCAATTTTCCTGCATTCGAAGCAAACATCAGGAAGATTTTCGCAGTCGACCTTCTACCAGGCATCATCCAACCAGATACGAGGAACCAGGGGCTTGGACAGATCTACTTCCACCGCTATTCTTGCAAATTTCGCATGTTGTAGAGTCAGAGTATGGAACTCCATCCGGATTGTTCTACCGAGGAGGTTGCCCAGGGATGTCAGAATCTCTTTGTGATAGAAGTGAATTTTCAGCGCCGGAAACTGCATCGAGACAATCATCTTTCTCGGAAGAGGATCAGAGACCTTGAAGCTCGGAAACCATTGCTGAACCGCCAGATAATGATAAAAAATTGTCCATGGTCCGTCTGTAAGAGCCCTGAAATAATCATGTTCATTGCTGAGCTTCACTAGAAAACAGTCCTGGTCGAGGTCCATGATTTCCATAGCACCGGTTGGTCTCCAAAGTCCACGGAGGTGAGAGCAGAGAGTGAAGAAGCCAATTGTGGTGCCAAGAAGTCTAACCACAATTGTTCGGTGCCAGGGGGCACAGATCTTCTCTTTGAAGGTGGAGGAGATATTGAGTGCCGGCTCTCCGTTCCAGCTGCCAGGGATCAGGTCATTTTCGCCTACCGGAGTCCACTGAGATGACTGAGATGGACATGTTAGGTTTCCAACCCACCACCGCCGACGCATAGGAGACCTGAGGTGTCGGCCTCATCGGTGACGGGGAGTTGTGGGCTTGTTCCGCTTCCTTTCCCATGGCAGTGGCCAGGGATTCAGTATGGTCGTTATCTCGGGGCAAAGGCCCAACTCCAGCGGAGGCATCAATTAGCATTTCTGTTGAAATAGCTTGGTGTGCGTCGCTGGCGTCAGCGGAGATGCAGAGCGTGATGGGGTCCGACGGTCGATCGGAGGGGAAAAGAGTCGGCGCCGGCGATGTGGAGGGCGTTCCTTCGAGCGAAGTTGAGAGCATTTCGTTACCCCCGCATATGGGTCCATTTGGATCTGAACCCTTATGAGTCATGACAACTAGATTAAATTTTCCAATTAATAAGTCGACCCATTGCCATTATTATGAAAATCTTTTGATTAATCACAATTAGGCTTACACAAATTTTGATTCATTCCTTGGTGATTAGCTAACTACTACAGCCAAGTGGTGTTATCGTCAAAAGCCTTCTCTAAACCAAATTTCCCTCCAATACCTAATAATTTTGTTTGATCGGTTTGATCCAGACAATCTACCTACAAAATTGCTTGGAGGGAGGGGGGCAACGATCTTGACCAAACTTGAGTTTTGTAGAAATATTAGTAGTATATATATATAAAGCTAAAGCACGTTTTCCCTAAGAAATGCATTTGATTGGTCTAAGTTTATGTGCTCCTGTGATGTTTTGATCCGCTGCTTCTTACATGACCAATTGGAGAAGCCAAAAATTATATTTTGTTTGAATGGTTTTAAGCCTACAGGTACCTAAATAGAGGAGAACTTTCAAGGGGGAAAATTAAATCCCTGGAACTAAGATTGTTAAAAAGGTTTAGCAAGTGGTAAGTGGTATGGTTTGATTAAGATATTGGTTTATGTCGATTTAATGAAATATGTAGAAATGTGAAAAATATTAACACCAAATAAATTTAATAATCATATATAAAAACATATTTGAACACAATCTACATTCATATATACAAATAAAATACAATATTTCAAATAAAATAATAAATACTTATATTTAAATACAATATTTAACGTCGACATCCGAATATTTATACTTGAATCCAACAAATAGCATCAACATTTAACTTTCAAATTATAATGTTTTGCTAATTAATTTACTAAAATGACATTATTTTTTAGAGGTCGGAAACCGATCATACCGACGGTATTTCATCAGATGTCCCAACCTACACCAATTATATTAGGTTTCACCAGCCAACATTCCATCGGTATGACAACCATGATTGGAGGCGACAACCATCAGGGTGGTACCAAACTACCAATCGTTTTGACCCAGGTATATGATAATGTCATTATATTATGCATACATTTATAACTTATATAAAATCTAATCTAACATATAAGTAATACACATATAACATTGCACCAAAATAACAATTCATATTTGGATCTAACATTTAGCGAAAATTCAAACATACTGATCATATGACATCAATATTTAAAGGTGGTAAATTTTTAAAAAATGAGAAAAATACTAGTACATATCTTGAATCATTTTTTTATAATTCGTAAAATAAAATATATTCATGATTTTTTTACTTCTTCAAGAGTCTCAGTCTACAAAAAAAAAACTAGAAAATCAAAGGACATTTGTAACACTTTTCTTATCATAAATAAATAAACAAAATTAAAAGAACATAATCTTACTCAAAAGAATGACATCTCAACATACAATCACCTCACACAATTGCCAATAAACATGCAGCAAAGCTCACATCACTGCCTAGTAGTGTCTTATTTGGAGAATTTTGATTAATAACTTGTGTACTTTTGGGGGATCCTAACAATCAGCAACTACAACTTATTGACCAAAGCCTCATGACTCATGATTTGCACTTCTTTCTCTCCAAAGAGAAGATAATATGCTAATATATTTAACTCCTTAACTCTTGTAATATTTATGCTCATTGCTCACTTGAACTGTTAAGAACGGATCAATAATGTAAGAAATTAAATACTACATAAATTTACGTGGTATACTAACACAATGTTTGTTAATTAGTCTATAGACAGGAGAGACAGTTTCTCTATATTTGAGAAGATAACAAATTACAGATGGATATGAATTAAAGTATATATATTATTTCTCCAAACGGCCTAACACTAATCCAATATGATAAATAATAAAATTACAGATCAGCCTCAGAACAGAGACCCAAACGTGTATAATTCTATTCAAATCATATCAACAACATGAGAAAATGCTCGGAATTTCCTTATGGGCATTGTTTTGAAGACTTCAATGAGTACTTATAAGTTATAATGAAAGCTTATCGTATTGATTGGAGACCCAAATGTGATGATAAAAAGAAAAGTATACCAACATTTCAGCTCCTGTGTTTTTCCAGCTGATCATTCACATATATCGATCGACAACATAATAGCATGGGAATGCAACAACTGAATTCCCAATTTGAAGTGAATCCATTCTCTATCTGTATATATGAAGAATATTGGGTAAGATAGCTACCATCAAGTAGCTATTATCAAGATTCCATAGCATCTTTATGATCACATATCATCATTCATGCAGGGTGGGCTGATTAATGACCCAGATTTTAATTAAGCACGTTCTTATAGACCCAATAATTCTTAAAATGAAATTTAAAAAAAATGTGTAGGTGGCCAGTATTAATTAATTAATTTTTTAAAAAAATACCCAAGTTTTCCTCTGTTAAAATAGGCACTTCAAAATAAGTAAAGAACACACAGATTTACGTGGTTCACAACATAATGTGTGTTAGCTACTAGTCTACAAGCAGGAGAGAACTAGTTTTACAACACTCATAAGATAAATATTACAGAGAGATTGAGAGTATACAATACTTATTTATAAAGCTACAGACTAGTCCCACTAAAGAAACTCCAGCGTGTATAAGCTCATACCTCGTGGGTCAGAGTTACCTTAAGCTTACTCCCTCGAGCCACCAAACCGGACGATTTGCCCCTAGATTCCAATTCGTTGACCTGACAGCAAGACCCCCATAACTTTCAGTTATCGACGAATAATTCGATTCAAATTATATCAACACAACATAATACTAGTACTGTGCAATCATATTCTCGTTTAAGAAGACAAGACCATTTTGTTTACGTTCGAGCAACAGTTATAAATTTCAGAATCCTCTTCCAAACCCATGAGCCAAGAGACACTTGAGTGACCAAAATTCCTCCTTCTGTGGATTCCCAACGAGATACTAGCTAGAAAGTCCCTGTGTTGGGATGCTGACAGCTGGAAGAAGCCAAAGAAACAAGTAATCCAAACTAGCTATTATTATATAGTGGCAGACATTCGACCAGTAGTACCACTCTTCTTCTCTTGTTCATTCAATCAACCACTTACACTCTCCAACTCATATGAATCATATTCATATCTAATCTTTATCTCTCGATATGGTCCCTATAGGAAGAATTGGGTATTTCTTGGCCTCACTTACTGACTTACTAGGGTTTCTTCTATTAGGTTGATTAGTTACTTCCCCACTCTCATGGGCTAGCTAGCCAGCTATTCTCAGCCAAATTCTTTTGCTTCTTTCTTTCATTCTTCCTCTTCTAGCTTTTCCCTCACCCTTTCTTCGCAACTCGCTCCACATCTCCATCAATGGGTTGGAGACTATTGTGGTCCAATCAATATTTGACTAAGGTACACTAACCTCGAGTAAAACGCTTGATTTTACCGATCTTTTTCTACCTCGGGAGTCAAGTTGAGACATGATATGCTCTGGGATATAGTTGGATCTAAAGTAAACTTGGTGAACAACAAAAAAAAAACCACTAGTGTTTATGATCGATTCGATCGGAAAAAAAAAAAAAAAAATAGTGCAACTTTTTTGTTGGAAATTTCTTGGGGAAAATTATCATATTTTCCTGCGATTTTTTATGAAAGACATTCAGACTATCACTCCTTGATGCATATTCACTTGACTCGGGGGGATATAGCTCAGTTGGTAGAGCTTTGCTCTTGCAATTGAGTCGTTGCTATTGCGGATTGGATGTCTAATTTTAAGGTGATAATAATAGTGATCTGTACCGAGAGTACGACATGAGATTAGTAAAAAAATCCTAAACATATATGGAAAAGAAAATAGGAAGGAGGAAGTGGGTATGGGGTGATGGGACTAGGATTCTCTCAACACATGCAAGGCTGCAGAGGCAAAGAATGGCATCTCACAAGGTAACAAAGCCAAAGAAGGGAATGTTGTCCTTATGCAATAATTATGGCTTCCTCAACCTTCAAGTGCATGTTTGTCGAACAACAGACGATCTCTTCAAAATCTCATCCTCATCATATCATATCTTCCCCCTACCACTTTGTCTTTATATTAACTTAATTACCTCGTTAATTAACTAATCTAACAACTTAGTTACGTGCTCTTAATAAGAACATATATTCCCTCTTCACATGCCATCATTCTCCTTTCCTTTGCCTTTTTTTCCTTTAATTGTGTGATCTCCTTTTTCTGTTATTTAAATTTCGTCACTTGTTGATATTATGACATTCCCTCCCATCATTCTGGCTAGTAATTTTCTTGGTCTGCTGGAAAAGCCAAAGCAAATTGCAGCTAGCATTGTAGTATTTGTATATATGCTACCATACCTCTCTTAACTCATTCAAACTCAGCTTTAATTACTATATCTTTTACAGAACTTGTAATAATGACAAAAACTATTTTATTCCCATAACTGAAAGAGCTAGAACACATCTAGAACCAAAGGGTTTGTGAAACTATATATTGGAGAGGCGGTATAGAACAAATTAGTGGACTCAATCACATTTAATGGTACAATTAATATCATATCGGTATTGTTTTAAAATAATATAACATATTCAACCGATGTCGTACCTCAACATATTGATTTATTGTGAATGAAGTCACATATTGTTGCTAATGAGTTTTTCAGTAATTTGAATATCTTGGAAGGCCCAACCTTCCAAGAGAATGGATCTTATATCATTTTCTTACATATCCCCTCAAACAAAAGTTACCTATAGTTTATGGGTTGTCAGGATTCAAACTTTATTTGCCAAAGGCAAGGCACTTATGTCATGTTAAGAACATAGATCGTTTGGTTTCTAGAAATTATTTTTATTTCTATGCATGCACAGTATATGTATTGTTCACTTGTTGTGACAGAAACAATCATTCAAAATGAATAATTGTACAATCTAAACCTTTAATTGTGATTATTGTTACTTTTTTTTGGTATTATCCTTCAAAAAAAGGTTTTAAAATAAA